GTTTTATACTTGAACTCTTTTGGAGAGAATATTATGACAATGTGTTAAGTGATGACATCAATTCTCTTTCAGCACCATGGCTAGACAATATGATGCTATATGATTTGTTGTTACTTGAAAATCAACTTCCCTTTTATGTCCTTGACAATCTCTATTCTATATCCTCCCACTTTGCGGCCAGCTATGATTCTACATATGGTCGTAATTGTAACATCCCTTCGTTCATCAAGCTTACGTATAGGTTTTTTGGCAGTTTCAATAGATCCCGGTTGACTTTTGTCAACTATAACGAGATAAAACACTTCACTGATCTGATACGATTCTTTCACTTAAAACTTCCTTCGAGAGGAGAAGCAGAGTTTTCAAGGAGCAACAAATTGCTGGAACATCTTCCCACTGCTACTGGGTTGTCAGAAGCAGGAGTAAGGTTTAAGGTAACCAAAAGTAAATGTTTGTTGGATTTGAAATTTACAAAATGGGTTTTTAAAATCCCGCAATTGCTTGTACATGATGCTTCTGAACTTGTGTTTCGCAACATGATAGCTTTAGAGCAGTGTCATTATCCGTATAAGTCCTACATTACTGATTATATTGTAGTTCTGGACGTTCTAGTAAACACAAGTCATGACGTGGATCTACTGGTTCGTAAGAGAATACTGGTGAACTTTTTAGGAGACAGCGATTCTGCGGCTAAAATGATTAATGGTCTTTGTAAAAATGTACTGCAGCTAAATTTTAGTTGCCATTACTTTCATCTCTGCGAAGACTTGAATGCTTTCTGTAGAAATCCCTGTCGTAAATTGATGTCAACTTTGAAACGTGATTATTGTAAAGGTCCATGGCAAAGCGCTGCTACAACTGCTGCAATTGTTCTTCTTGTTCTCTCTTTTGTTCAAACACTTTGCTCTATCTGGGAAGTATACAAGCGTTAGAACCCAATACCTGCTCAATAACTCTTTCCTCTTTCCTTGTTTGCTGTTTATGTTTTTTTTTTCATTTGTACCTTTTTTTTAGCTTTATTGTATCATGATCTCTTTGTCTTGTTGCTTAATTAAGAGCAACCTAGTTCTCTTTTTTAT